GCTGCTTGGCCTGCTGTGTTCATCCAGCTCTACACCTTGTTATCTCAGATTGTCCAGCATCTGCAGTTCCTACTATCTCTGAGGAAAGTTGTGATCCCTCTTCACCTGGTGGTAACAATGTTTCCATTTCTGCTTTTGTCAATTACCTTAAATCTGTACCCTCGCATTCTTGATCTTCCCATTGTGGGTAGTTCCTCTATCCACTCTGTAAACTTGTGCATTAACTTACTGCCTGTCTATGTATGCCTTGAACTATCCCAATGCTCCTTGCAGTGTTATTTCAGTAGCTGTGGCATTGCTGTAGAAGACTTCTGCTTGTCAGTGAGGGAGACGGCAAATAACTTTGATACTTTCCTCTACAAACTCTGGACCTCAAGGCTTAATGTCAGACTGCACCAGGTCAGCAAGGGTGGCATCAACCTGTGCTGGCCGACTGGCAGTGGCAGAGTGAAAATCAGGGTAGCATAAATGGAGTCATAGAGTCATAGTTATACAGCACAGAAACAGACACTTCAGTCCAACTTGTTCGTGTCAACCAGATATCCTAAACTGATCTATTCCAATTTGCCAGCATTTGGCCCATATCCCTCTAAAGCCTTCCTATTCATCTACCCTCCCAGGTGCCTTTTAAATGTTGTAAATGTACCGACCTCCATCACCTCCTCTGGCAGCTCGATCCATACAGAAACCACCCTCTGCGTGTAAAAGTCCCTTAGGTCACTTTTAAATCTTTCCCCTCTCACCTTCGACTTCTTCCCTCTAGTTTTGGACACCCTTTGAGGGGGACAGCTGATTTATACACTTTGGAGTCAGTGGCCTGAACTTTTGCTTGATGCCAGTATGCAAACAAATTTCTTGGCTTGCAACACATCCCTCTGGAAAATGTGGATAGAACAGCAGGATCTTTATTGCGGGGGTGGTGGGTGGTGGTAGCAGATTTAGGACAGTGGATGAATCTAGAAGGGAGAATAAATATGTGTTGACCACTAATTTTTCACACAACCAATTTAGGAACAACTTAAAGAGGTGAAAATGTGAACCCAATCCCACATTAAGTGGCTGAAGAGATAATTATGAATTAAGTATTCTGCAAAATTAGCTTCAATGGAATACAAATCCAGATGGCTGAATGGTCTCCCATGCCACAATCTATTTTCTCATCTATGAAACGGCCAATTTCTGGGAGGATGGGGCTTGAAAGCTCTCTTTGAAGTGACAACATTGACATTAATGACTGGGTGGAGCTTGCAACCAACAGTTCAAAACTGCACTTCGTGGCTCAAACCACATCATTTTTTTGTATGTTTCAACACCTTAATAAATGAGGCAAAATGGCAGTAGAGAAGGAAATAAAAGATGCAAATCCTGCATCCTGGATCCCCACAACCCATGAGGCATTCAGCCCAATATTTCCTAAGACCTATGAATCGAGAACCAGCCTGTTCAGTCACAGCAAGACAGATGCGGCAGAAAGCCACAACACTGAGTAGACACCATCTTCAAATACAGGGGCGACTGACACAGATGTATTGCAAAAGACAAGAGAAACGAAGAGGGCCATTATGGCACAGTGGTAGTGTCTGTATTTCTGGGCCTGGGTTCAAGTCCCAACTGCTTCAGAGGTGTGTAATAACAATCTCTGAACTGGTGGATTATAAAATATCAAGGGAAACAAAGAGATCCCTGACAAACGAGATAATTGGGTTGAGGGGAAATTTGCATGCAATATTACGTCAAAGATCACTTGAACTAAAAGATCTAAATTATTTTAATTTTGAATTAGCATCATCTCTTCTTTCAAAAAAATGCTTAAAATATTGCGTCCAAAAATAAGAAGGATGCCAATCCTTGTTTCATTTTCTGAAGAATGGTCACTGGATTCCAAGCTTTAACTTTGCATTTCCTCCACAGATGCTGCCAGATCTGCTGAGTTTCTCCGGAAATTTGTTATTTTTTTCTAGCGTTTTCCAGGAACACATTTAAGAAGACATTAAATAGGCAGACGTGGGAGTGAGGGCTAAAATATAACGAAAGATGACATGGGGTAAGAAGCGGCCAGTGCGGATACAATTTTACGTCATGTTTTTTTTTCTCTTCTTTTAACAGAGTTTTTAACCAGAATCGTGAAGACGCTAAGATGTGAAATTTCTATACACGCTAGTTTGCTGCTGGCCGCTTCACCCCGCCCCCGATCGTTCTGTTCGGCCGTTGGTGTCAAATGCAGCGAACTCAAACCGTTCCAAATCAAAACCACGGCTGAGGCTGAGGAAGGCGCGCGCACCCTATCCGGCTCCTTCCCCCTCCCTATTCAAATCCACGGACAGAGGAAATCCCGCCCATCGACCGCTCTCATTGGCTAGATGCCGACAGGTGCCGTGCTCCAACTGGCGGGTGCGGCTGTCGGTCAGAGGATGTTCGCACGTTTCCGGGTCTCGGTGCGCGCTCGAACAGTCAGTGTTGGAACGCTCGCTCTTGGACCGTTAAACCGCCTCGTTCCAAGCAACAACAACAACAACAACATCGGAGGAGGAGGAGGAGCAGGAGCAGGCGAGGGGCGTCTGGCCGTGGATCTTGGGCTGTGCCGGTGTGAAGGAGAGAGCGGTGAGGAGCCTTTCCAATACAGTACTTTCTTTAGGACTTTGTGAACATGCGCGGCGGAGTTCCGACATCCGGTTTTGCTGGGGCCTTTGAATAAAATGGCAAAGAATCGGCGGTGTTAGAAGAGGGAGCGGTGGCGGTGAGTTTGTCTTGAGCCTCGTACCTCCTGTGAGTGTGATCGGGAAGGGAAGGCACCTCCAGGAGGTGATGCCCCACCGACACATTGACGCTGTGTATATGTGTCTGGTTGTTGACCTAGGCTTAGGATTTGTTTGGTCCACAAAGTGCTCGGTTATTTCACGGGTAGAAGCGCCCCCTTCCCCCCGGATCTGCTGTCCCCTCGTCGCTCTCCTGTATTTGTCCTTGAATTTATAATGTGACATGATTAGAGCGTAATGTAACTACATAACGAATGTGAGACAGCGACGAATGTTTCCTCCCACATACAGATATAACATTGTCTAGATTGCTGCAGGGTCCAGCTGGATCTCAGTGGGGTCAGTTGCCAAGGGAGAGAAAGGAGAGTGAGCTGGGACGGTCAGCCTGACCAGGCAGCAGCTGCTATTGCACAAAACTGGGTCAGGATTATCATCAACAACAAAAACAGATATCGCTGGGAAAAAAAAGCACGTCTGTCGGCATCCTTGGAGAGGAAGCAGAATTAACCTTTCTGGTCCAGTGACCCCTCTTCAGAATCAGATCACTGGACCCCAGATGTTAATTCTGCTTACTCTCCATAGATGCAACTAGATCTGCTGATTTTTTTTCTCAGCAATTTCTGTTTTTGCTTCTGATTTACAGCATCTGTAGTTCCTTGTTTTTTCCTTCAGGATTGTTATGTTCTTTTCATCAACCTCCTCTGTTACTTTTAAATATTTCTATTCTATCTGACAATTATGGTCTGCCTTTTACAAATCCATTGTGGTTGCCCTTAATTAATTCAGACCTCTTCTAAATGCTTTTTCAAGCAGTTTTTTTTTCCTGATTATTCCTTCTAAGATCATACTCACCACTGCTGTGTTAAACTGACTGATCCGTTAATAGGGCTGTCCTGACACTTCCTTGAATAAAGATGACAGATTTGACACTTTCCAATCTCTAGTATCACCTCTGTATTGTGTTAACACTGGAAGACTGTGACAAGACCTACTGTTATTTCCAGCCCCGCTTCCTTTAGCAACCTTGATGACCTTCATCTGGATCACTTCACTTGCCATTTAACCCTAGGCACCCTTTCCGTAAAGATCATGCATTGTTTCATAACAAACTTTTCCAATAGTTTCTAGTTTGGCCAATTACATACTGTTCAAGGAAGCTCTTGAGAATGCAGTTAAGACTTTCTCGCCCTCCTTACCCACTATGAATTTACATATATGCATTGTAAATCTGTATTCCTTGTTGTCCTTCTTAGTACCATATTAGTTGGATGTGGAATATGTCCATCTTTAGTACTGTCTTATAATCTCACATTATTGCATCCTCTTCCTCTTTTCTTCTTTGTACTGATTCCCAGTCCCCTTGTAGCCTAGTTTAGTCTAGTGCTCCTCAACTGTGAGTGAACCTTCCTTTGAGGACATTGGTCCTCATCTTATAGAGGTGCTTTCTTCTACTTTGATTGGGTGATTCCTGCAGAACAGGCCTGGACTCCCCCAAAATTGGAACCTTTTCCCCAAGCGCCATTCTTCACGTGACATACTGATCTTCTTTATCCTACTGTTATTAAAATAATTCAGTAACCAGATGGTACTATCTTTGTATTCCTATGTTGTATTGTTTTCCCTTGACCTTGAAATGCAATCATAGGAATTCATTAACTGCTGTCTCTTTGTCATTGGTACTGAGATGTGCCTGCAGAATATTGAATATTTAGCACTCTCTCATTGATCGCCATTACCTTGACATCAGGGAAGCAACAAACCATTCAGCGTTCATGATATTGTTTGTGGAAATGAGCGTTGGTCTCTGACTATGAAATGATCTCTGCACTTTTACTCTGCTGTACCTTCCTGTGCAGTCCCTTGCCCATTGATGCCATGGTCTGAAAAGCAATCCTTTAGGGTTGTGCTAAACTAAAGCTCCTCAACCTGCCTGCATGCCTTGACGCAGTTAATCATCCACTTCCGATACATCTACCATAATCCAACTAGATGGGACCGTACTCATCTGGTTCCATCTTACATATCCATATATAGCCAATGAAATGCCTGCAATGGCTCCTCTAACTGCTTTAGAATTGTTATCTCTATCCTCCAAGGATTAATTCTTAATCCCTTTTGTCTCTCATCTTCACTACAATCCTCATGAAATATGAAACCCAGCATCATCACCTGTGTGTACACTGATAACACTATGCCTCCCATCCATTATCTCCACTGTTTCAAAATTCTCAGACTGCTTGTCCAACATCCAATTTTATTTAGGCAGCAATTTTTTTTAATGTAGTATTGTGAAAGCCAAAGTCATTGATTCAGATTTTCCAAATGGCAAGACAGTTGTTATTTCCAGTGTAGATGGAAGTGTGTATGAGGACCTGTGGAATGTCCACCATAACATACTCAGAAGGAATTGCCCAGGATATTAAAGGTGCCATTGGTCAGTTCCTCTACATCAGGGACCTTCTGACTGTCTCTTTTTAAAACAGACAATTTGAAGGGTTCTGATGAAATTCAGTAAATACATAGTCCTGAGTAACTATTCAACTGACCCTATGCGTAACTCACAAACCACCAACTGCACACCCTCCCCTCCAAAGTTCTAACCACCCCCACCAGCCCCTTCTCAATTGCTGACCACCCCTTGCTGCCATCCTACAGCCATCCTGCCCTCCAAACCCCTTGCTGGCAGACTCGATAGTGCTCTTCAGTTAGTACCACAAATCCTGTTTGCTAGCCACTGACTCCATCCCTCTTCTGGCATCTTTCTGATGCTGAACCGGACTGCCTGGAATATTAGTTTGATATTGTATCCTGAGAAGACTTGCCAAATACACTGCTACCTGATTAAGCCACTCCTTTTCCAAGCTCTATAACATCATTTGATCCTGTCTGATTTAATATGCTGTTGAAACCATTATGCATGCCTTTGTTACCTCCAGATTTGATTATTCCAACATATTCTCAACTGACCTCCCACTTTTAATCCTATATAATCTTTAGATCGGTCGACTTCTGACCTCTTGAGCAATCTGATATTAATCATTCCACTGACAGCACGCCTTCAGCTGCGATAGCCCAAAACACCTTTCGAAATGGCCTTAAAACCTGCTGTTTGACCATGCTTTTAGTCATTTGCCTTAATATCTCCTTATGTGGACCAACGTCAAATTTTATTTGATGCTCCAATGAGATGTCTTAGGACAGTTGACCAAGATGAAGGCATTATATAAATAATAAGTTGATGTTTCAGAATGTAAAAAGCATGACCGGTTGAGTCCTGAACCACTTGTTGGTCAAGTGTGATTATATTAACGGTGGATCTAAATGGACCACTTGTGTGCTGGATCTATATGGACATCGCCTCTATTTGAAGACTAAATCAGTTGGATTAACTTGCTGAATAAAAAAACAGAATAACATTCCACTGTGTTTTGTCTTGTATCCTAGTCAATTCTTTGGATGAAGATGTTGATTAAGAGAAGGAGCACTTGAAAACTGGATGGTGGAATGATGTACTGTTAAAAGTACCCCATCTAATGATGGCAGCTGTCTCATTGTCTTAAGTTCAGCAAAGCAATCATGGGTCCAAACGGATATTCTGTAGGTCACGATACATAAGTTGTCCTGGCATATAAGCCGATAACATTTTTCAACGCCAAAAATTGAGTTTAGGTATATACTTACCAGTAGCTTGAATCTCCTTTTTTATTATTACATGCTATACTCACACTTGGGATAATCCTGATTTTTTTTTAACCTCTGAAATGCATGTTTTACTCAACTTATAAGTCAGTGCAAAGGATCAAGCAGGCAATATATGCTTTTTTTGCCAAGAAGATGGTGGGAGTTTAAGAAGATAGTGCAGTCTGCTCTGCACCAACAGAAATGGCTCCTCCTGCAAAAAATATTGAAGTACAAAGTTGATTTCAAGCCAGAAATCCTAACATTTGCTAACTCATCAAATATTTGCAGCAGCAAGAGAATTCAGTGTTAGTGTCAAACTGTGAGAATGGAAGAAGAAATCTGCTGTGAAGACGATAGCTAAAACTAAATGTTCCATCAGAACACTTACCACTATTGACCAGACTGTGGAAAGCAAATTCCCTATCAAATTTTTAGAATGTTTACATCATCACCAGAAATGAAAGTGTTCTCTTATAACATCTTTAATAATAGCTTCTAACATTTTCCCTATTACAGATGTTAAGATAACTGGTCTGTAGTTTCTTGCTTTCTTCCTCCTTCCTTTTTTTGTATAAAGGAATTGCATGAGCTATTTTCCAATCTAAAGAAATGAGTGTTAGAAAATGAAAGCCAATGTGTCAATTATCCCATGAGTTACTTTCAAAAACCTGGGATGAAATCCAGTAAGACCTGGAGACTTGTAAACTCGCAGTTTCAACAGTTATCATAAAGTCAAAAAGTTGTACAGCACGGAAACAGACTGTGGTCCAGCTCATCCATGCTGACTAGATATCTTAAACTGATCTTGTCCCATTTTCAAGCATTTGGCCTATATCCCTCTACACCCTTCCTCTTCATGTATCAACCTCCACCACTTACTCTGGCAGCTCATTCCATACTCACATCACGTTCTGCTTGAAAAAGTTGCCCCTCAGGTCCGTTTTAAATCTTTTCCCTGTAACCTTAAACCTATGCCTTCTAGTTTTGGACTCCTCCCCTACCTGGGGAAAAAGACCTTGGCTATTCACCTTATCCATGCCCCTCATGATTTTATGAACCACTACAAAGTCACCCTGCAGCATCGACACTCCATGGGGAAAAAAAAGCCCCAGACTATTCAGCCTCTCAAACCTTCAGTCCCAGCAACACCATCAATATCACTAATTTTCTTGAATTCGTCCCTTTCAATTTCTAACTTGCAGGTACTTCAAGGGTGCAATATGCAAAATTACAAGAAAATGCCATTGGTTGGGGGGATGGTTGGAAGGAGGGGGAGGAGGCTGATAAGTAATTTTATGAGACAAATTGGTCAGCTGGGCATCTCAGTGTCAAATGGAATTTAACCCTGAAAAGGTGTGAGGTGATGCACTTTGGAGGAAGTAACAATACAAGGGAGTGTTCAATGAATGACAGGATAGTAGGAAGCTCAGAGGAACAGCGGGATCTTGGTGCTTGTCCATAGAACCCTGAAGGCAGCAGGTCAAGCTATTGGGGTGGTTAAGAAAGCCTACACCTTTATCAGTCTTGCCTTTATCAGCTATGTCGTAGGTTAGAAGAGTTAGGAAGTTTATGTTAGAGCTGCACAAAACTTTGGTTAGACCACAGCTGGAGTACTACGTGCAGTTTCTGGTCAATGCGTTATAAAAAGGATTGCCTGAAATTTCTGCCACTGTATCTCTATTGACCTATATTCTAACCTCGTTTACCACTTCATTTTAGTCATCTCTTTTATGCCCTTATAATTCAATTTGTTTACATTTTAAAAAGTAATTTCTGATGCACTCCCTTGTCAAGCTCAATGTAAAATTCAAGCTAAATATGGTCGCTTCCACCAAGGGCCACCTTAACTTTGAGGTGATTTTGAAATGGGATAGGATTAATCAATGCAATATAGGTAGCACTCTTCTAAGAAACAATCTCAAAAAATGCTATGAAACCCTCGTCGAGGCTCCCTTTGCCCATCTGACTTTCTGGTTGATATGTAGGTTAAAAAATGTTCCATGATTAACACCATACCTTTTCCATCTCATTTACTATTCGGGGCCTTGTACATCACTCCCACAAGTGAATTCTTTTGTTTTTGTTTGCTTGTGGGAGGTGGGCATCACTTGCTGGACCAGCATTTATTGCCTGTCCCTAGTTGCCTTTGAGAAGGTGGTGGTGAGCCTCCGCCTTAAACTGCTGTAGTTCATGATTATTACTTCTGACCCTTCAAACTTGAATCAAAACTTAGATTGTTTTTGCTAGAGTGTTGGAGGCTGAGGGGCAACCTGATAGAAATATATAAGATTATGGGAGGCATTGAAAGGTTGGCTAGTCAGTGCTTTTTCCAAAGTGGAAATGTCAAATACTGGGGGCAGAGTTTTAAAGGTGAGATGGGGAGTAGGTGCCTCAAACATACTTCCAAGGGAGTAGTTGAAGTAAATACAATAGCAACATTTAAGAGGTATTTGGGCAGAACAGACAGGGAATAGAAGGATATGAACCATGTGGAGACAGATGGAATTAGTTTAGAATGGCATCATGGTTGGCGTGAACACAGTGAGCTGATGGGCCTGTCCCTATGCCATACTGTTCTATGTTCTATTAGTTACACAGATTGCATTGTTATGAATACAGGTGAAACTCAGCTGCCCCACTTTTCCCTGTTTTCATTTTCCCTGTAATGTTCAATCTCATCACAAGGGTGCCTCCCATTTTTTAATTTGCTTGTGGGACTTAGTCGTCACTGGAGGGCCAGCATTTATTGCCAGTCCCTAGCAGCCCTTGAGAAGGTGGTAGTGAGCTGAGGAATTGGCTAGTCATTCAATGTTTAATAAGTAATTTGTAGTTAAATGGCATGCATTAACATGAAGAAAGCTACATATCACCGTAAAGGTAGGGGTACGTGTACCTTTTGACAGGAAAGAGACCCATATTCTTGATCAATAATTTAAGGAAAAAGACTTTCCCACATTCCGAACAAAGTGCAACAACAACTGACCTTTTCTCCATTAGATACATCTTGCATCCTTCGCATCAGGATTACTAACAAAACTAAGGCAACTTCTGAATGGCCTTGTAAAAGGTGGCAGGTTTTAAAAAGTAACTCATGGTACAGGTCTGAAATGAAGGCCAGGGTGGAGATGTGCCACAAAAGAGAAAAAGACTGCTGCTCAACAAAGAATGCCAGCCAATGGGAGGGTGAAACTACACTGGATTTTGAAGTCTGGTGAGTTATTTTATGTATTCACGTATAATGTGGAGAAATCTGATATAAAAATCATTTTACAAATTGCACATGTATTGTGTTCTTTGTCCTCGTTTTCTGAACATGTGATGTAATCAGAAGAATTAAACTATAATTTCCTGAGTTATGCAGTACAATGTCTTAGTTTGTCATGTTCACTTCGTGTTTTCACAGGTAATTCCAGCCAACAATTGAATCTTGATCGTTTTGCCTCAGGAGGAAGATGAACTTCAACATTTGAAGAAACAGGAGGTGGTAAGATCTGTTGAATCATAAATGCAGCATGTGAATGCCTAGAAATAAGCTTAGGAGCCCCAATTAAAACTTTTTAGGAATATCTAGATGACAACCATATAAAAGGCTGTTGATGTGCAAGAGCTGAGAATAGATCATTTAAAGTAAGAACAAAGTATTGGAAGATGCTGGCAATCTGAAATGCAAGCAGAAAGTAATTGTGGCAGCATCTGTGGAGAGAACAACATTTACTTTTGGTCGTTATAACTTCTTCGGTCAGAATTAGTTACGTGGAAGAGTCAGATTTGAACCCTTTCATTCTTTCACTCTTGCTCGCACACTCTCAGCACACATGCTCCCAGAGCTCCTGAGTATCTCCTGCACTCTGTGCGTTTATTTAAACTTTTGTTTAAGTGTGCCAAAATTTGGGACTCACTTCTCAGCTACACTATGTGTTTGTTGCAATTCAAATAAGTGGCTCACCAACAACTTCCCCAGAGCAGTTGGGAATGGTCAATAAATACTTTTGGTATTGAGTTAACAAAGTGTGCATTTTTAATTGCTAGATGCAAGAAGAACTAGAATTGCAATACATTCACATAGATCAGTAATAAGGGGTGAGTCCAAAAAGATAAAAGTTTTTTTAAAAAGTACATAGATCAGTCTGCACATTTTTTTGTGCAGAAGAGAGCTGAATGATGCAGCTATCGCAGTGGGGGTTAGCAGCAGCGGTCGTCAAACAATCGTTTCATGATCCTTGGTTATTGATGATTGGATGAGATACTGTAGTTTTGATTCCTTTTGGTCATGACTGAATTCCAGCATTCAGGGTGAGAGAGTGCTTTTATTATCCTCTTTTCCTTTTTTAACTCACTTGCAACACTCTTGAGTGAAAGAGAGTATTTAACTGCAGCAAGGGAGTGACTAAAGAATGGTTTTTTGACTGTCACAGTCACCAAACGAGAATACTCACATCCATTACCCTCGCGCTGGTATACATGAGAAGGTTCTGTCCCACTGGCTTTTAACCCTGTGCTTGTGTATTCTTCAAAGGGGAGAAACAAAACATGTGTCTGCATAATCCATTGGGGGTGGTTTGCAGATTGTCAGCCTCTCATTTTTGTTGGAGTCATAAGAGATCACAGTCATGTCAGAATTTTCTTTGACACCTTTCAATGTTACTTCCTATCAGACCCACACAGTTTTTTTTCACTAGCTATTATTCTATTTCTCTTTTTAAAGTCAAATTATAGAAAACATCTATAGTATTTTGAGGTTCCAACTCATTGTCGTAATACAGGTGAATGGTGTTGAAATTTCAACTTAGTTTATGTACTGCACTCTCATTTGGAGGATAGTCTTTTGCTTTTGTGCGTGTAATTGTAGCAGATGTCTATTAAGTGGGGAGTCCTAAGATTTCAAGTTTCACCTGTGTCCTGACAGTAGCATTTTTGCCTCTTGTTCAAGGTAGTTTCAGAAACGTGAGAATATAATTGAAGTTGACATGTCAATGCAAAATTGGGAGTTCTGTGTGATTTGAGGTGTAATCTTTCTTTTAGGTGAGATTTTTAAGTAAAGCCTTCTCAGCTGGACTAAAAGATACTGTGATACTGTTCAGAAAGATCTGATTAAGTTGGTAGCAAGCATGTAATACTTCGCTAATTATAAAGAAAGTACATTTGGTCAGTTATTTAATATTTTTATGGTTCCTGTCTATGCATGATATTTCTCTTCTTTGCATTTACTGCTCATTTGCCTCTCGTATTTGTAATATATGTAATCCTGAAATTCCCATATATCTGTTTTTGACTGTTGTACATGACCACTGCCTTTTCACTGCCTTCTCATTTCACTTACTTCTTTTTCCTATGGACCCAATCGTGCCACATTTTATTTCTCCACTCCTGAGCACTTGTGCTTACCACCCCACTGCAACCTCTTCCCAAAACCATGCTCTATTTTCAGACACACTTGCGGTCATCTCCGTTTGATGTGCTCTTCTTGGAAAAGGCCACAATGTTCTGTTGTCACCCCCATGGCTTGTACTCCAATGACCTTAATCATAGAGATATCTATCTCCATCCAGTCCTCAAGTATCATTCACCACCAGCATGTCTTCCTATTCCCTTCCAGCTTTACATATTTCTGCACTTGCTATTGGATTTTCCTTTCACTCCATCACTCCTAACAAGTTTACTTGCAACAATACATTCTAACATTCAGCTGTCCACATCTTTTCAACATGTTTCATACACTGTGCCTGGCAAAACTGGGACTTTCCTCCATGCCAGTCATTTCTCATATTCTGGCCCCCAGCTTCACTCTTTTAAGTCTCATAACCTGACACTTGCACTAATAAATCATACAAGTTGTCAATTACCAAATTAAACTGAGCTACCTAAGCAGTATTTGGCCTCATTTTTCTATGCCCACTCGTCCAAGATCATTCTTGAATGGAAAAATAATAGTGTTCTACATTTTTCCAGTTCAACTATCTCCTTAAACCCCTATCCCCTGCTTCCTACCACAGCTCTCACTTTCATAAGACATATGGGCAGATTAGGCCATTCGGCCCATCGAGTCTGCTCCGCCATTTGATTGTGGCTGATATGCTCCTCGCCCCATTTTCCTGCCTTCTCCCCATAACTGTTCAATCCATTACCAATTAAAAATCTGTCTAACTTCACCTCAAATTTACTCACTGTCCCAGCATCGACCGCACTTTAGGGTAGCAAATTCTACAGATTCACCACTCTTTGGGAGAAGTAGTTTCTCCTCAATTCTGTTTTAGATTTGTTACCCTTTATCCTAAGACTATGACCTCTCGTGCTAGAATACCCCACAAGAGGGAGCATCCGCTCCACGTCTATTTTATCTATACCTTTAATCATCTTGAATACCTCAATTTGATCTCCCCTCATTCTTCTAAATTCCAGAGAGTATGGGCCTAAACGGTTCAATCTGTCTTCATATGACTATCTCCTCAGCTCTGGGATCAATGTAGTGAACCTCCTCTGAACTGCCTCCAATGCCACCACATCCTTCCTCAAATAAGGAGACCAAAACTGTGCACAATACTCCAGGTGTGTTCTCACCAATGCCTTGTATAGTTGCAACAATACTTCCTTACCTTTATATTCTATTCCTTTAGCTATAAAAACCGACATTCCATTTGTTTACTTTATTATCTGCTGTACCTGCATGCCAGTTTTCTGTGATTCATGAATGAGGACACTCAGATCTCTCTGCACCGGAGTACCCCGAAGCCTCTCCCCATCTCCCCATTTAGATAGTAGGTTGCCTTCTCGTTTTTCCGACCAAAATGCATGACCTCACACTGATCCATGTTAAACTGCATCAGTCACATTTTGGCCCACTCTCCTAATCTGTCTATATCCATTTGTAAGATTTTTATTTCCTCATTGCTATTAATCATCCCGTATATTTTTGTGTCATTCACAAGTTTGGCTATAGAGTCAAATATCACTGTATCCAAGTCGTTTAATATAGATTGTAAGTAGCTGGTCCAAGGACTGGACCCTGTGGTGCCCGACTTGTTACTTCTTGCCATCCAGAAAAAAAAAACATTTATCCCAACTCTGTTTTCTGTCCATCAGCCAGTCACCTATCCAAGCTAATAAATTACCCCAATTCCATTTGATGCAACCTTGTGAATTAACCTTTTGTGCAGCACTTTATCAAATGCCTCCTGGAAGTCCAGATACATTATATCTACAGGATCCCCATTATCCACTTTGCTTGTTACACCTTTGAAGAACTCGAGCTAATTAGTCAAACATGATTTGCCCTTCATAAAATCATGCTGACTCTGATAGACAGCGTTTTGACTTTCCAAATGTCCTGATATTGCTTCCTTGATAATTGATTCTAACACTTTCCCAACAACAGATGTTAAGCAAACAGGTCTGTAATTTCCCACATATTGCCTCCCTCTCTTTTTGAATAGGGGCATTACATTAGCATTTTTCCAATCCACTTTCCGTGTTCAGGGAATTTTGGAATATTGTAACCAATGGATCTACTGTCTCTGCCGCGACTTCCTTTAATACCCGAGGATGTAGGCCATGAGGCCCAGGGGACTTGTCAGCCCTCAATCCTAATAGTTTGCCGAGTACCTTTTCCCTATCGATTTTGATTGTTCTAAGTTCTACCCTTTCTATTGCCTCTGAATTGCCCGTTCCAATAGGAATGGTACTATTGTCCTCCACCGTGAAAACTGAGGCAAAATATTGATTTTGCATCTCTGCCATTAACTCTCCAGTTAACATTATTAACTCTAAGGTTTTATCTTCTAAGGGACCAACATCCATCTTAGCGACTCTCTTCCCTTTTATTTACCTATAGAAGCTTTTGCTATCCTTTTCTATATTTTGTGCTAGTTTTCTTTCGTAATTTATCTTAGCTTTTTTATTAATTTTTTAGTATCCCTTTGTTTATGTTTGAAAGTTTCCCAATCTTCCAGCCTGCCACTGGCCTTTGTAATATGGTATGCCTTTGTTTTTGACTTTATATTGTTCTTGACCTCCTTATTTAGTCATGGATTTTTTTTACCCCCCTTACTATCTTTCTTCTTCACTGGGAAATATTTTAGTTGCGAGGAATTGAGTAGCGCGTTGAACAATTGCCACTGCTCATCAGCTGTCTTATGTTTCAGCCTTCCTGCCCAATCTACTCGGGCCAAATCTAACCTCATACCTACGTAATTACCTTTGTTTAATTCCAGAACACTACTGTTGGACTTCATTTTCTCATCCCCAAACTGAATTTAGAATTCAATCATACTATGGTCAACATGCATAGAGTTTGAAGACTTAATGTGCACTAAGATTGAGAACATTCATTTAGTTATCTCCTATAATTTCACTCCTCCTTCTTGATAGTTATGCCTATACTGTTGTCACCCTAGTTTTTCTCTCGCTTAAGTCCTTTGTGTCTAGTTTCTCATCTCAAATTCTTGTCTGTCTGACTCCTGTTTTGCTGTCTTCTCTTCTTTGCCGTTT